CCCTACACAACCGTGCAATGTGCCTGTACTCTTCCCAGGATACCTGTTCCTGCTTCCCCTGCCTGTGCAGTTCCATCGTGCCTTTTAGATTGACCAGCAGGTCTTGACTCAACGATGTTGGTCTCTTTCCTGCCATACCTGATTTCTTACAGCTGGAGTTTGAGAGCTCTTGTGAAAGCATCCTTAAAGATCTGCCAGCTCTGCTCTGCTCCCTTGTCCCTGAGGACTGTTTCCTAGGGAGTCCTATTGACTAACTCCTTGAAGGGCTGGAGGTTTGCTCTCCTAAAATTTAAGTTCCTGACTTTGCTTTTCCTCTGCCTCATACCCCTTAGGACAATGAGCTGCACTTGTATATGATTACTGCAGCCCAGGCTGCCTCTGGTCTGGGTGTCCCTGATGAGTTCACTTGCATTGGTGACCATCAGGTCTCACATAACATGCCATCAGGTAAGACTGTCTATTTGTTGCATTAGGAAGTTGTCCTCTAGGCCCTCTAGGAATCTCCTGGATTGCCTGCAGTTGCCATGCTACTTTCCCAACAGATGTCTGGGTGGTTGAAATCCCCCAGTAGGATAAGAGCCTCCTGGAGCTGGAGTATGAAAGTTTCACCAATAAGCTCCCATTGATGAGGCAGCCTGCAGTAGACACCACTCATAAGGCTCCATTTGTTGTCTCAGTCCCTGATTCTTACCCATAAGTTTTTGACCTGCTCATTGACATTCTTCAGAGACATCACGTGACACTCCATCAATTTCTTGACATAGAGGGCAACAGAGGACAACAACCCGTCCTTTGTCATCTGTCCCTTCTGAACACCCTGTAGCCATCAGTAGCCACACTCCAGTCATGGGATTTGCCCCACCAAGTTTCAGTAATTCTTGACACAGAGGGCAACAGCTCCACCCGTCCTTTGTCATCTGTCCCTTCTGAACACCCTGTAGCCATCAGTAGCCACACTCCAGTCATGGGATTTGCCCCACCAAGTTTCAGTAATGGCCACAATATTGTAGCCTTCCAGTAGCCATCTGGCCCCATAGACTTGTGTACATCTAAGTGATGTAGCAGGTTGCTAACCATTTCCTCTCTGATTATGGGGGTCTCATTCTTCTCTCCATCCCTGTCTTCCATCTCAGGGGGCTGGGTGCCCAGGGAACAACTAATTCCTGCTACTAAAGACTGAGGCAAAGAAGACATTCAATACCTCAGCCTCTTTCTCATCTGTAGCCACTGTTTCCCCCTCCACCTAATAAAGGATGACAATGCTCCCTACTCCTCCTTTTGTTGTCAAGGTATTCATAGAAACATTTTTAATTGTCTTTCACAGCAGTAGCCAGGTTGAGTTCCAGCTGGGCTTTGGCCCTTCTAATTTTCTCCCTGCATAGCTTCCCTACATCTTTGTAGTCCTCATGTGTGGCCTGCCCCTGCTTCCAAAGGCCATAAACTCTCTTGTTCCTGATTTCCAGCCAAAGCTGTCTGTTCAGCCAGGCCAGTCTCCTTCCCTGCTGGCTTGTCTTTTGGAATATGGGCACAGCCTGCTCCTGCACCTGTAAGACTTCTTTCCTGAAGTGTGTCCAGCCTTTCTGGACTCCTTTGCCCTTCAGGACTGCCTCCCATGGGCTGTGTCAACTAGTCTCCTAAACAGGCCAAAGTCTGCATCTGGAAGTCCCAGGTGGCAGTTCTGCTGACCCTAATCCTTATTCCTCCAAAGTTCTCCAATAACCAATAACTCTGTCATCTCATAATCACTGTGCCAAAGATGGCCTCCAACTGTTATGTCCCCCAGAAGTCCTCCTCTTGTTCTCAAGCAGCAGGTGCAGGAGAGTGCCTTCCCTAGCTGGCTTCCTCACCAGCTGTGTCAGTAAGTTGTGTTCCACACAGTCCAGGAACCTCTGGGATTGTTCCCTCTCTGCTGTATTGTGTTTCCATTTCCCCACAAGAACAAGGGGTAGCAATCGTGAAACCTCTCCCAACTGTTTATGGAGTATTTCATCTGCTTCTTCATCCTACTTGGGTGGTCTGTAACAGACTCCCACCATGATATCTGGCCTGTTGGCTTTTCCCCTGATTCTTACCCATACAGACTTGACCCTGTCGTCACCATCATTGTTGTAGACTTTCATAACTCTCCCTAATAGAGAGGGCCACCCACTACCTCTTCTTCCTTGCCTATCCCTTCTAAAAAGTTGATAGCCCTTGATTGCAGCACTTGTCATGCAGGTTGTCCCACCACATTTCAATGATGGCAACTATATCATAGTTTTTTGCTGCACAATGGCCTCCAGCTCCTATTTGCTGCCCATGCTGCATGCATCGGTGTAGGTACACTTCAGCTGGGCTTATGGTCCCACCACCTCTTTGAGGGGAGAACCCCCTAAGTCCTACCTGCCCATTAGTAGTGTTGGCTTGATGGTTGGACTTGATGATCTTAAAGGTCTCTTCCAACCTAAAGGATTCTATGATTCTCAGCAGCTTTCATGGCTGCTAACCTATCAATAACCCTTGTGTCATTGCTGCTGCATGGATCGCCTACCTCCACTGAGATGGCAGACTGAAAGACCTTACTAGCACACTGTCCAACAGACACTGACATACCACACCCAGGCTTGTCTGTAGCAAGCCATGTTTCACCCCTGTCCCCCTTCAAATCTAGTTTAAAGCTCTTTCAGTGGGCCCTGGTAATTCTTATCCCAAGATCATTTTCCCCTTGGAGACAAGTATAGCCTATCTGTTGCCAGCAGGCCTGGTGTCTTGTAAACCAACCTGTAGTCAAAGAACCCAAAGTCCTGTTGCTAACACCAGGCTTGGATTCAGGAACTGATTTGCTAGCTCTTCCTGTTGAACCCCTCATCAGTCCCTGCAGCTGGTGGGATAGAGGAGAACACTGATTGTGCTCCTGATTCCTTAACCAGCTGTCCCAAGGCCCTGGAGTCTCTCTTCCTTGCCTGGGAATGGTGCGAAGCTGCAGCAGGGGAGGTTTAGACTAAGTATTAGGATGCATCTTTTTACTGAGGTGGTAGTCAAACACTGGAACAGACTTCCTAGAGAGGTTATGGATGCCCCAAGACCGTCAGTGTTTTAAGAGCTTTTTAATGCTCTGATAATGTGGTTTAACTTCTGTTCAGGCCCTTAGACTTAGATGATAATTGTGTGTTCCTTCCAACTGAAATATTCTATTCTGATTGATTGTGGAGAAAACTCAGTGTGCCACTGTAGTTGTTTCTGGATTAAAAATACCAAAATTACAAAAGCAATCAATGAATCTTGGTGTTTGGGGTCTCATTAAACAATCGCAAATCCATAAATCTATCAAACAACAAAACAAAGAAGACCAAGCAAAACAACCCCAGCAAAGAAAACCCAAGCGGATGAGGGGTGCAGGGAAGGAACTATGATGCAGAACTAGGGCTAATCACAAAACTGGAAATAAACAGAGTAAAACCTTGTTTTGAGTCACTTTATCTTGTCAAAACATTGATAATTCCAATGTCCAAATTAACTTTTTCATCATAGTAAAGAATGAGCGTCGAGATCTGGAGTAGTGAGCAAAGACCCAAGTCTGCACTTCCCCACACCTGGCTGATCTTAATGTCTTTTGTTTGCCTTGCTCCAAGATCGCCTTCGAGACACACTAGTTCATGAGGCTTGCCATGCAGCCACCTGGCTGATCCACGGCGTCCGGGACGGGCACGGCCGGCTCTGGAGATTCTACGCCAATAAATCGGCTGCGATGCATCCGGAGCTGCCCGTGGTGACACGCTGCCACAGCTATGAGATTAACTACAGGTTCATCTACGAGTGTGCTCGATGCAAAGCTACGTGAGTCAGGTTTTGATCTTGCGTATGCCTAGGTATTAACTTTGTTTCTAACTTGGTAGTCTCCTGTGTGTAGAAATCGTGGGTCTCTTAAGCTGTGGACCAACTGGGATAGTCTCACTCGTCACTTCACGTTTCCTGAGCCCACAGAACCTCACTATGTGATTCTACATGTTTGTTTCCAGGTAGTTTCAGCTTCATTTCAGAGGTCTGGACAGGCAGAAGTGTCTTCTGAGGACCACTGGTAATGGTGGAAAGTCTTTGGAAAGCAGTAAGATATTAGAATACATGCCTCAGCTTTGAAGGACATGGCAGGGAAAAGTTACACTTTGTGTGGCTGCTCTCACTCTCCAAACATTGCTCAAATGATATAAATTTGGATTCATCTTCTACTGTAGTTGATACTGAGTGAACTTGTGAAAGTTTTTGACCGCTTACCTATGATTTCATGATCAACACTGATCCTGTTGTAGGCTTTTTGGTGCAAAATGACTGGACCTGGCACATCCCTGTAGAATGCATGTAAGCAAAGGACCAGCATGGATTGCAGAATTGAGGCATTCCAAGTGCTTTCTAAAACTATCCACATTTTACATCTTACAAAGTAACATCTTCAAATGTGCCATGACAACAGTCTAGGATTGATCTAAAGAAAAACAGTACACAAGGGAGTGCTAGACTTGGCATGGTCGACTGAGTTACTTTTTATATGCTCATCCTGGTAAAGATAATGAAGTATGAAGTTTTGTGATTTGGGTTCTGCATAGTCCAGGAAAGTGGCTGACCATGGCATGATTTTTTTGTTGTTTTTCTTTAAATCTTCTTATTCCCCTTCCTAACTTTAGGGACTTAATAGTATGCTTAGAAAGCATGCATGGGAACTTTTTTTTTAAGGCTCATACATGCCACTTTCAGAACTGTTGGAAGGAAACTATTTCACATATGAAAGCATCTTCCTGAAGTGTTTAATATGACTGTGCAATGCATTAGTTGCTTAGATGCATCAGAGCATTGAGAAGATTTGATAGTGATGGCATGGAGGAGAAACTCCAAGGGGTAGCTGATACATGGGTTGTGGAAGCGTTTCAAAATGTTGTAGCACTACTAGCCTGAGAGTGAAAGAAACAGAGGAATGAACCAAGCTGAAAAAGCAGTGGAAAAAGCTCTAAGGTAGAGAAGTGTGTAATCCAGATTTGGTAGTTCCAGTGTGTGACGTATGTAGTCTGTTTCTTGTTCTAAAATGCTCGCTTAGAGATCTGACCCAAGTAGCCTGGCGGAAGAGAAGGGAGCCCGTTCCCACGAGTGCTGGCTACTCCAGGTGTGAAATCCAAGTCCGTGTTCTCCCGTTTCAGGATCGGCCGCCATTCCAAGTCCCTGGACACGGAGCACTCTGTGTGTGCCTTCTGCGGGGGGCAGCTGGGCCTGCGTCAGCCCGCGCGGAAGGAGGGCGCCGCGGCCAGGGCGGGGCTGACGCCCTTCGCCAAGTACGTGAAGGAGAACTACGGGGCCGTGAGGAGGGAGCAGTGTGGACTGAGCCATGCAGAGGTCATGCAGAGACTCAGTGCTCATTTCGCTTTGAAAACCAGGCTTCAAGATTCCCTGTAACATCTCAATACGCTTCCTGTCCTGATGCCACTTATATTTTTTATGCAGTTGTAAAAGACTAATGTGAGGCTAAGAATGTGTTTTGGAGGATTCCAGATAGCCTTAATATTTTAGCACTAAATACTTTGATAAAAAAGGTCTTAAGGCCTCTTCTAAAACAGGCAAGAGTGAGCAAGAAGTAAGGGTGATAGAAAGTCTGTGGCCCTGCACAACTCAAAATCCTTCTTAGACTTCAGATAAACATTACCTGTACCTGGGAAGATGTAGTTCTAGACTCTTGGTGGGACTGACTTGCTTTGGTTTCCTGGAATTTTCTGAACAGTATTTACATATAGTAGTGCTTCATAGCATGTCTCCAGTGAGCAAGGGATTTACTGGGTAGCTGATATGCTATAGGCTTACCATATGTGCTGAAGAACTGCAAGGTGTACATCTGTTTGGGGTTGCCAGATGCAAAGAAAATCCAAGCCCATAAGCCACAGTCCTCTGATTCTGTCTGGATGACTTCCACGCAGGAAAAGGGGCAAACCTGAAGAAGGCTTCAACATGAGTTCAAGCCTTTTCCCAAGGAACGTTTGAGTCATCTTTGACTGTTTTTGTTAAAAGTGGTCAGTAGATAATGTCCCAGATCTGTTAGAGAAAGTGTGAGTTTCTGCAAAGCTCTGTGGCCCCTTAGTGAGATAAAATTTTGAATGCAGTTGTGCCTCTATCACTGAGATCTCATAGAAGCTGAAAGAGATGCAAACGGTCAGGTTGGGGAAAGCCAATTCAGAGACTTTATACCATAGAATGAGATGATCTGGTCAGATGACTTAAATCTTCCATGTAGAATGTGACTGAATGGGTTACAGTGTTTGTCTATTGTGAACAAAATCAGGGGATTAGTAATCCTGAATAATCAATAAATGCAAGTTTTATGCCAGCTGTGGCAATGAACCAGGCGTCTTTGTTCCAGCATAGCTGTGACTGTTGGTATAGTATGTGAAAGCTGAGTCACATCTAGCTTAGAACTAGCTAGTTCTAAGTTTCCTGTACAGCAGATCACGCTGCTTGCTGTTGAGAGTACCTGTCACTGCTCCTCACTTTCTGCCCTGCCTTTATCAATCCCACTACATCCCAGCTGAAAAATAAATAGTAGCAGCACATGAAGGAGTTTGAACCATTTCAGAAATAGTTGGTACTGAAGCACAGCTCCTCTTAGCATCTCAATTGCCTCTGCTGTGCTGGGTGTTCAAAGGGAAGATCCTCTCTACACATCATGCAACTGACCCAGGAAACTACAGTCGGCCTCACCTCCATCCCTGGAAGGGTGATGGAACAGCTCGCTCTGCATCACATCTCTAAGCATGTGGAGCAAAGGAAGGTTTTTGGGAGTGGTCAACATGGATTCACCAAGAAGAAATCGTGCTTGACCAAATGATACCACGATATGACTGACTGGGTAGATGAGGGGAGAGCAGTGCACGTTTGTCTACCTTGACTTCAGCAAGCCCTTTGACACCGTCTCCTGCAACATCCTTGTAGGTAAGCTTAGGAAGTGTGGTCTAGATGAGTAGACAGTGAGGTGGATTGAGAGCTGGCTGAATGGCAGAGCTCAGAGTGTTGTGATCGGTGGCACACAGAATCACTTTGGTTGGAAAAGACCTAGCTGGAGGCTTCTTGTTCCCCAGAGGTCAGTACGGCGTCTAGCTTTGCTCGTCATAGTTACCAATGACCTGGAGGAAGGGATGGAGTGTACCCTCACCAAGTCTGCTGATGATACAAAACTGGGAGGGGTGACTGAAACACCAGAAGGCTGTGCTGCCATTCAGTGAGTCCTGGACAGACTAGAGAGCAGGGCAGAGAGGAAGCTAATGACGTTTAACAAGGGCAGATGTAGGGTCCTGCACGTGGGGAGGAGTAACAAGTTATGGGTTGACTTGCTGCAGAGCAGCTCTGTGAAGGACCTTGGGAGTCCTGGTCCATAACAAGCTAACCACAAGCTCACCTCTGGCTCTTTCTCCTGTTCCTGTGATAGCCCTGGTTCATCTTCATCCCTCGCTACATGAACTGCTTTCTTTGTGTATTTCTGCTGTATGAGTGATACAGGCACAGGCTGGTTCTGTGGATCAGCTGCAGCACCTATTGGTTTGTTTTTAGGTCTGGGCTCCTTCTCTTCCCCTTGAGAGCACTGAAATGTGTTGAGAAGGACTTGGTAGGTGTAGGGTCACTGTATTGTATTCAAAACATATAACACAGAGAGCATGCTGGCCTGGATTTTTCAATAGCCAAAATTCTCAAAAGCTGAGAGTCTCCTCCTGTCTCACCGACAGCTTGGGTGAGATCACTGAAAAATGACAAGGCTGCATACACACAACCGTTTAACCTCAGAGCCAGTGACACAATCATAAGCTGCCAGCATCCAGTAAAACAGGACAAGACCCCTTACCCATTTCCCAGAGAGGGCAACTATCACTACAGAGAACATGTACAGTACGTAGGGACTGACATTCCACCATGCAAACAAATGGACTGACACTGGGAACAGGCATTGTTTAACTAATACAGAACGTGTGTATAGCAAAATTGTTTGAAAACACTTTAGTCAAATTTTGTTATCTGCAGGAGATGCACCCCAGAGTCCCGAGGGAATTTTTCTGATGTAGTTGCCAAGCCACTCTCCATAATATTTGAAAAGTCCTGGCAGTCAGATGAAGTCCCTGGTGACTGGAAAAAGGGAAACATTGCACCTCTTTCTTTTTTTAAAAAGGGTAGAAAGAGTAGCCTCAGAACTGCTGACCTGACAGCTTTGCTTTAGCTTTGCTAACAGCACTGCATTCAGGGCTGTTTATTCAAAAAATTGCAAGTATGCATTCAAAGGCATACTTTGAGTCAGTCCAAATATTAATTTTCTTCCCTTTTCCAATTCTAATGCTCTTGGTCAAGGTGATTATTTCTGCTTTCTGAACAGAGATTCCTGCAGGTAATGCTTTGGCTTGTATTACGTTCTGGGTGGTAGTTACAGCATACCTGCCTTATGATTTCCTTGGATCACAAAGCTGCTCCCATCCATAAACATGAGTGCTCAGCATCCTCCAAGGGTTCTTCCTTCAGGTCTGGTCTGCTGGAATAGACAGCTTCCATGGTCTCCAGCCAGCCATGCATCACTGGCTTGGTAACAGCTCCACTGAGAACAGATGCTGGATTCACAGTATTAGTGATCACAAGATCCACATCATCTTGCTCTACCAGAGTAGCCTGGAAGCAGAAAGCCAATGGCCCCTCTTCTTCAAAATGGTGGAAACTATGAGAGACCAGCACTGTCATTTTCTGACCCATGGTGAACTTCCATGCCTCTTGGATGTTGAGAACTGCTCCCACTGCTCTCTAATGCCCGGGCCAGCCTTTGCTCACATCATCCAACTGCTTGGAGAAGTAAGTGACTGCCCTTCTGTAAGGTCCCAGTTGTTGGGCCAGTACTCCCAGTACAGGCCTTGCTTCTCATGAGCCAAAAGGGTTTGGAAACATCAGGGGGGCCCAAAGCTGGAGCCCTTATTAACTCCTTTTTGAACTGTTCAAAGGCCTTCCTAGCTTCATCTGTCCAGGTCAGCTTAGTAGGATTCTCTTTCAATAAATTATAAAGTGGCGTTACTAAAGGTCCATAAGTAGGTAGCCACAGTTGGCACCAACCTGTCATCCCAAGGAATGTTCTGATTTCCTTCACTGCCCTGCGTTCAGGCGTGTGGCAAATAGCTTCTTTTCTCTCTTTTCCAAGTTCCCATTGTCTTCCCGAGATTTCAAATCCGAGATAAGTCACTTGCATCTGGACAATCTGAGCTTTCTGCTGAGAAACTCCATAACCACTCTGTCCCAAAAAATTAAGCAAGCTTACAGACCATTGTATAGACTCTTCCTTAGTTTCTGATAACAGTCAAGAAAGGAGTCCATGTTCCAAGCTCTCATGCCACCTGATTTCCAAAAATAGCGTGCCTGTTTTTCAAGCCTTGGAGTAACTGTCCAGGTTGGTTGGCTTTTTCTTCTAGTATCAGGGTTTTCCCACTCAAAAGCAAATAGCTTCTGACTTTATGTTGCTAGAGCTAAGCAGAAAAAGACATCTCTCAATTCCTCCACAGAAAACCACATACGGGCATTTTTCAGTCTGGTCAGCAAGTGTAAGGACTGGCCACTACTGGATGTAAATCTTCCACGGTTCTGTTTATTGCTCTTAGACCCCGTACAAATCTATAACACTTACCATCTGGTTTCTCTACTGGAAGAATGGGAGTATTATATTCTGATTTGCACTCCACTAACAACCCATAATTTAAAAAAAAAATCTACTATTTCTTTCACTCCCCTTCGATCTTCCCAGTTTCAAAGGGTACTGTTTGATTCTTACTGGTTCAGCTCCTTGCTTCAAGTCTACCTTTGTCAGGGCTGCATTCTTTGCCCTGCCCGGGATTTCAGAAGCCCATACTCTGGGATAAACTTGATTCAAAGTTTCTGTAATTTCTGAGGTGAAACTGTTTTTCTTATTTGTGGGTTGAATCAATGCTAAGTTCAGGAGTTCAGGATTCCAATTAATTAACTATTTCCTACCTTCCTTCACTCCTGTGAGACAGGCTTGTCAGTGAGAGATTAACAGCTGCACTCAATGACCTTAAGTGTCTTTTCAAACCTAAATGATTCTGTGACTTCACATAACAGAATGCAGATGATGATGTACCTGATGGGGGATACTCCAAAATGAAACAGTCAAAAAATTTGAAGAATTATTTCAACAACATGTATTTTGTTCCATTTGTTCAATCAAATTTCACTAGACTGAATGCAATTAATTTCAGCATGTAAGAATGACAGGCTTGCATATCTTACCCATTCTCTTCTCAGCATCTTAATCTTTTTCCCACCTAGGAAGCAACCTCACTCCTCCCACTAAGCCAGCAGAAACAGCCCATTTTGTGAAGAACTTCAGTGCTGGGTATGCAACAGTGTTATATTAAATAAGAGAACAGACTGTG